TCTTTATTCACAGGGGAAAAAAGAAAAAAATCAATAAATCTGCAAGAATTGGACGTTTTTAAGGACTGGACATCAGTGTCAGCTTGGGTTGAAGTTCAGGGTGGAAGGTGCCAGCCTGCAAAAGTTTGTTCCTCGGGTCGGATCAAATCCAAAAGGCTGCTACAGTCTGGATCTTATTTTGTTGTGTTTTACTGAGACTCTTCTCAGCCATTCAGGGCACACTCTTTTCTCCACCTTCCCACATGCCTGCACTGTCCCTTGTGTGGGAAGTGTCTGGTTCTGAAGAAAGGACACTAAACCTTATCCTGGCCTGAATGTATCTGTATTTTGCTCCTGTTTAACAGATTTAATTTCAAGGACCAACACTCTCCAAACCCTTCCCAAAATCTAAAACAAAACCCCCAAAAAAGGGATGCACTTCAAATATAAATGCATTTATTTCCTTTATTACACATGGAGTAATTCTACCAGCTCCATCACACAAGGGAAGAACCAGGCCCTCAAAACTGAGCTTTCACCATCTCCTGTGCTCCTGAGAAGTTACTACATCAGTGCCAGTACATCAGTATTGCAGTCAGGTCCTGGCAGCTTCCACATGGTGGGACTTCAGCACCTTCTGCTGCCTGGACTCTTCCCTTTTAACTGGTATTTGCACAGACATTTCCTGAGGAATTGATCTTCTCTGTGCCTGCTTTTGGGCCCTGTATTCATTCTGCTTGCTAACAGTAACGTGCTGTTTAGCAAGCTAATTTTTCATCTCCCCACGGCCAATATTGGATTTCTGTGTGGCACATTTTGGGGACTGCACCAGCCTCACCAATCCCTGCCAAGCCCAGCTGTGGGCTGCTGGTGCCACCTGGAGTACAACAGCTGCACCCAAAATCCTCCCAGATCCCACACCCTGGAGCACACAGCCTGCAAAATCCCTTTGGATCTCATTCCCAGAGCCTGGACGCTCCCAAAGCTCAGCACGGGGAGCCAAGCTGAGCTGCTCACAAGAGCTCGGAGCTGCAGGCACTGCAAGGCTCAGCTCAGGAAGGGACAGCAAAAGCCACCAAATGCTTTTAGAAACCTCAGCTCGAAGTTGGGGAGCACCTGAAAAGCTCAGCTTTCAGTATTTGTCTGAAATCAGCCTCTTGCTTGCCCAAACACACTGAGAAACACAGACTAAAGTACATTTCTAGCTCAACTATGAAGTCAAAGCACAACAACAAGCGGCTGCTGAAGCAGCCCAGGCTGTTTGGGACATGAGCTGTGTCCTAATACACCCCCTACCTTTGGATACAAGTAAAATAGAGGCATCCTGGACACCCTGGGGCTAAACTGTACACCAGGAAAGACAGAGCAATCCAAGAGGACTGCAGCAAAACTGTCCCTGTGGGAGCAGAGACACAACAGAATAATTTATCCAGTGTCAGGGGGGGTCATCAGTGACCCATCCCCACATCCAGAAACACAAGGTACAAACAGAGTAAAGAATCAGAGAATTCCACAATGGTTTGGGTTGGAAGGGACCTTAAAGTTCAGCCAGTCCCACCCTCTGCCATGGGCAGGGACACCTTCCACCAGCCCAGGGTGCTCCAAGCCCCGTCCAACCTGGCCTTGGACACTTCCAGGGATCCAGGGGCAGCCACAGCTTCTCTGGGCAACCTGTGCCAGGGCCTGCTCACCCTCCTAGGGAAGGAATTTCTTCCCATTATCCCATCTACACCCCCTTTTTCAGTTTGAAGCCATTGCCATTGCCCTTGGAGTCTCCTGGGCAAACATTCAGCTCTTCAGGGCTTTGAGTTGGGTTTTTTTCCTGTGTCACTCCTGCAGGTTTAAGAGAAGCACTTCAGGTCTGACCTGCAGCTCTGCCAAACCCCCCTGCGAGGTGAGGGGGCTGATGGAGGGGCTGTCCCTGTGCAGCACCACAGTGCAGCTCCCAACTCTTCAGGAAGTCACTGCAGCGAAACAGCAACTCTCCCAGCTCTCAGATTTCACTCCTGTGTTCAGCAGGAACGTGTTTGGCTTCCAGTGGGACCATCAGCACCAATAAAACATCAGGCAAATCAAGGTGGGGATGTGAGGAACGATGGTAATGACCCCAGGGACCCCCAAGGATCATCCAGTCCAACCCTCAGCCCTGCACAGGCCCAGCCCCAAGAGTCCCCCCCTGTGCCCCAGAGGATCATCCAAACCCTCCTGCAGCTCTGGCAGCCTTGGGGCTGTGCCCACTGCCCTGGGGAGCCTGTTCAGTGCCAACCACCCTCTGGGGGAAGAACCTTTTCCTGGGATCCAGCCCAAACCTTCTCCTGCCACACAGAAGACTTTTTTGGATTTTTTGTTTGTTTTACAGACCACCCCCCCCCACTGTTTGTTTTTTACAGTCATTTTTTCCAATAAAACAGCAGCTTGAGACTCCCTCTGAAGCCAAACAAGGATGGAATGCACTTCCTGAAAAATCAGCAGCTCCAGGAAGGCTCCCCTGCACTTCACCATGTCCAAAATCCTCCTGGCACCCAGACCAAGCAGAAAGAAAAACTTCCATCCCAGCAGGGATTGTTTCAGGAATCTTCCATCATCAACCACAGAAAGCAAATGTTACTATTAGCCTGTAATTCCTAATAACCACAGGAAACATTCCCATGAAGAGTTTGCTTCTATTTTCAGTTTATTTCATTTATTTCCCTCTGCCTAAACACATGAAACAGCTGAAGCATCAGGAGCACCACTGCAAACCTCACACACAAACACTGCCAGCATCTCCCCCACTCCACTTTCACTGGAGGCACTGAAGAGCCCGTGCCCTGTTTGTGTTTTATGCAGGGCACTGATGGCATGGAATCAGTGCTGTCTCACTGGCTGGGACTTTAAAAAGCAACTATTAACTGAGCACCTTTTATCAAGGTATCTGCAACCAGGCAACTACAAGGGCTTACACCTCGACAACACACCCCACCCCAGCTAAATTTAGCCCGGATTCAATGCCAGGGCTAAAATAAAACCATTGCTTAAGCAATATTCACTTTACCTACAGCAAGGGAAATTTGTCTGAAGGTGAATCAAGAGGTCACAACAGTCTGAAGAGATGCTGCTCAAAGGCAAACTCTGTTATGCAACTGCAGTGTCAAAGAACAGCTTTCTCTGAACCACTAATGCTTGTTTTCCTTCTCTTTGGGCTAATTGTGCCCTCAGGGAAAATCTCAAAAAGGACTTTTTACAAGAGCTTGTAGTGCCAGGACAAGGGGGAATGGCTTCAAACACATAAGGCAGGGTTAGGAGGGATATTGGGAAGGAAATCCTTCCCTGTGAGGTTGGGGAAGCCCTGGCACAGGTTGCCCAGAGAAGCTGTGGCTGCCCCTGGATCCCTGGAAGTGTCCAAGGCCAGGTTGGAGCACCCTGGGCTGGTGGAAGGTGTCCCTGCCCACGGCAGAGGGTGGGACTGGATGAGCTTTGAGGTCCCTTCCAACCCAAACCACTCTGTGATTCCACCCCCAAAGCAACCAGTTGCTGCTAAATAAATCAGATTCTCTTTTGACTGCACTGCACTTGTCATCTGTGGAGGGAACGATGCCGAGGGGAGGAGGGAGTTGGTTTATTTTTATAGCCACAAAAACCTCTCTTGGTTTGTTATTGGCAGGAAAAACGTTCTATGGCATGGAAAAGAAACAACTTTTCTTCTTCACTGCGGAGTGACCGTTAAAGAATTGGGTGAGCAGCAGAGGAGGGGAGGGCTGGGAGAGGCAGCTGGAACTACAAGGAGACAGCACAATAGTTTCAAGTCTTTGAAAATGCAGATTTGAAACAGCAGCTCCTTCTAGTTGATCCCATACTGGCATTACCCTGAATGCCAAAGGAAGGGAGAAATCCGGACCCACTAATCTGGATAATGAACTCCTGTCCCTGGAGCATCACAAGGAAATCAAAACTCCCTAGGGAGCCGTCCTTTGTGTCAAAAAAATTCTGGGAGGAAGGTGACCTTCCCTCCAGCATTGCTTTCATCTGCCAAATGGCCACTTCTTCTAAAAGCAAAGTCTCATTCAGGCCCCAAAGCAAAGCAACAGTGACTGGGTGAGACAGTGAAAACACTCCTACAGCCCTACCAACACCACTCAGGGCCAGCCCAGAGACCTGCACCACAAAAAGGCAGGCCAGGGTGGCCAAAATCACCCACTCTCTCTCTCAGGAGTCAGTGGCAAAGGTACCACAGCCCACATGGGGTCCCCTGTCCCAAAGCAACAATCACAGGGGCATGGGGAGAACTTCAGAGCTCGGCTCTCAGTGACCACCAGGGCCTTCTCAGAAGCACCAGGGGAGGTGCCCAGGGCAGTGGTGAAGTCACCAGCCCTGGCAGTGTTCAAAACAACCTGTCCCTCTGCCCAGCCCTGGGCAGGCACATCTGCAGGGCTGGGCCCAGCTCTTCCTCCTCAGCACAGCAGGCACAGGGAGATCCTGGAGCAGGTCCTGGAGGCCACAGAGGTGATGTGGGGTCTGGAGCCTCTCTCTGATGAGCAGAGACTGAGGAAGCTGGGCCTGGTTAGTCTAGAGAAGAGAAGACTCAGCAGGGATCCCTCCAATCCATACAAATATCTCCAAGGCAGCAGCCAGGAGGATGGTGCCCAACTCTTCTCAGAGGTGCCCAGTGACAGTCCATAAACTAAACCACAAGTTCCACCTCAACACGAGGAAGAACTTCTTCCCATGGAGGTGGCAGAGCCCTGGAACAGCTGCCCAGGGAGGGTGTGGAGTCTCCCCCTCTGGAGGCATTCCAAACCCACCTGGATGTGTTCCTGTGTCACCTGCTCCAGGTGACCCTGCCTAGGCAGGGGGTTGGACTGGATGATCTCCAGAGGTCTCTTCCAACCCCAACTACCCTGTGATCCTGTGATCTTTGTCCTACCATGTCTGAGGGTCCAGAGCAGCACCTGTCACACCAAGAACACCCTCTTCCACTGCTCTGGTCCAAGTCCACCACCAAGACCCCCACCCTGCTCCCCCGCAGGGCTGTGCAGCCTCACCTTGTTTGGTGAGCGCGTCCCTCAGGGCCGGCGTTATCATCTCCCTCTTCTCCTCCTCCTCCTCCTTCCTGCCAGGGTTCTCTCTCCTTCCAACATCTCCTTCCTGGAGCTCATGTTCTCCCTGTTCAAAGACAGTGAATTACAACCATTACAACCACGTAGATTCCAGCATCCCACTGGCACAGCTCAGTTAAACCTGTTCAAACTGAGGCAAGTGCCCACACAGCAATTCCTGCCTTGGTGTAATCCTACATTTTATCCCTTTTCCCTTCAGACTCTGATCTGACCCTTTGGTAATTTAGGACAGTAAATTGGAAGGGAAAACTGCCACAACACACTGGATTTTTTTCTGCTAACACAGCAATGACATTCTCAAGGATGGTTTAACAAACAGGGTGTTAAATCCCATCCAAGAGCGAGAGGGACTCCAGGATTTAATCCCCAGTGTTCCATGACAGCACAACCACCCCATATCTCCACAAACCAGTGTCTGGAGTGATACATGTTTGGGAGGGGAAAACCCACCCCACTCCAGTGACAGCCCAGGAGTTCACAGAGCAGAATTTGTGCCCCCTGAGGCACCCACAGGCACCCCCAAAATTCTGCCACCAGCCAAGATCCTGCAAGGAAAGGTTGTTCCCTGCCCCACAGCCAACTCCAGCAGCACCCCATGGCAGTCTGGCTTCCAGCTGAGCCCCTGGAGCTTACTAAAAACCCAAAGGCCAGGAATACCAGGTATTAGGATACATTTCCAAGCAGGAGAAGCAAAGCCTGGCACGTAAAAAGTGGTGAATCCCCCGCTGAGTGTCACTCCCGAGACCTTCTGGGTATTTATTGTCTCGTGTCTGCACAAAGAAGCATCAAAGTGTAAATAATGGCTCGGATATTTCATGCAACTTGTAATCTGTCAGCCCTTTATGGCTTTTATTACAGGAGTTATGGATAAACAACAAACAAAACCGAGCAGAGGACATTTTGTCTGCACAAAAGCTGAGGGTATTTCACATCCAAGGCTCTTTTTGTGCCAAACTCATCAAGAAGTTCGTAGAAACGCTTCCAGTTTTTCGAGTCTGCCCACCAACTGTCAGCATCACTACGGAAACCAGCGCTCCTGACTTGCCAGCCTGTTCTTCCCAGGCAGGGAAATGGATTGGGCTGATCCTGGATGTAAACAGGCTTATTTTGGACCTGAGTAAATTAGAGGTGCCCCAGGAAAAAAAAAAATCAGAAGTAGTAATAAAAACCCCCACAGACTCAGAGGTTTAAGGAGAAAACAGTTCCTGATAAGCACTGGAGAAGGAAGCAGGAGAGTAAAATATTTAGGGGCAGAGATTATTGCCTTCCTTACTCATTTGGGATAAAAGTGGGCTCCCAGGCTCAGGGATGTTGTGCAGGAAGGTCTTTTCCAACAACCACAACGTGGTCCTTCCTGAAGGAGAAAGCTGTGTCCACCTTCTGCTTCCTCACACTCAGTTTGCTGAGCTTTCAGGAAGGAATTCCTTGAGTTCTAAAACACATCAAAACTCCCCTCCAAGGCTACATCTAATAATTGCCAGTCATTTGGTGGGTTTAAAAGCTCATTTCTTGAGCCATGATCTTCATTTATCAGCCAGACTTCTACCAACAGTAAAATATTAATATTGCTGGGAAAGCCTCATGCATAAGGAAGGAAGGAGATGGAAGATGAGGATTTTATCTATTAAGTGTTAAATAAAGAGTTTCTCCTGCCACAAGCCATCATTTAAGCCAGAACTAGGCCCAAGGAAAGGCTCTGCCTTAGACTGAGCACCCTGGCCTAGTGGAAGGTGTCCCTGCTATGACAGGACTGGCTGAGCTTTAAGGTCCCTTCCAACCCCAACCATTCCATGGTTCTGGGATTTGGGAGCCACTCCAAATGCTCAGTAGGATTTAAACGTGGACATGTGCTCTGTAATCTCCTGCCAGGCCAATTCTCCCAGAAGAACTCTCTCTACATTATGGAGCACATCACAATATTTAAAATGCAGCAAATTGATTTAATTCCGAATGACACATCCCACCCAAGACACTCCTCAAATATGGAAAGAGTCTTTCTACATTTAAAACATTTGCATTTCTGCCTCCCTGTCACTGCAGGGGCTGACAAAGGCACCCAAAACACCATTCTGGCAGGGCAGAAATAAGGTCCAGTGATCATTTTTCCCCTCCCAGAGATGATCATGATTTTCCCTCCCCACACCCTTATGTGAGAGCCTGTAAACAAAATAATCCCATGTTTTTCCCTGAGCTGCAATCTCTGACTCGCTCCCTTTGGCAAGTGATCTTTTGGCTTCAGATACTCCTGCTAAGGGGAAATGGGAATTCCCAGCCCAGGGGTTTGCCCTTATTTGCTTAACAAACCTTTCATACATCTATTATTTAGGGTTGGAGTGAACAGAAGGTAACTTTGCACAGAGCAAACTCCCCAAGTTGTGGTGATTGAGCAGAAAGCCCTGTAGTAAATCCAAGGCAGATTCCTGCCTTTCCATAACAAATCAAGCAGGCAGTGACAAGAGCCAGCTTTTCAGGCCCTTTTGTTTTCACTGCCAAAAAAAATGAAGAGTCATCCCCTGGTGCGGATTCCCAAAGAAGAGAACCTACAGATGAGAAACCCATGGAAACCCAGCCAGATTCCCTGGAATCAGGGCTCAGCACAGCTCCACTGCAATCTGCTGGAGGGAGGGTGGGTTTTATTGTAATAAAAGCACCTGAACCTCAGACGGAAGTGAAGAGAAGAAGGAATCTCTTCCAAGAGGCAGAGCAGCCCCTGAGGGCACAGAGAACCCAGTTCTGACGGCTCAGGAGCATCAGGGCACAGTCCCAGACAAGAGGCTCAGCACCCCCTGCCAAGGTAGAGATAAATCTGGGATAAATCACCTTCCAAGGGTTTCAAAGGGTTTCCTCTACAGATTTGCTTCCCAAACTCAGCCTCAGCTGCATCCAGATGTGACCAACAGGATGTGCTGCTGCCACTTCTTCTCACTGCAGACCTCTCTCCAGGATGTCCAGCTGCCCAGTATCTCCCTGGTTTCTATCTGGGTACATCAAACATCCTGCAAATTAATCTTGCAGGGGGAGAAAAATAAAAAAGAGGTACCTAAACTCCATGTAAAGGCTGAGAAAGTTGGGGCTGTTCAGCCTGGAGGAGAGAAGGTTGTGTGGTGACCTCAGAGCACCTTCCAGGATCCAAAGGGGTTCCAAGGTAGCCAGGAAGGGACTCTGCACCAGGAACTGCAGTGACAGGACATGGAGAATGGGTTCAAACCAAAAGAAGGGAAATTTACGTTGGATATTGGGAAGAAATTGTTCCCTGTGAGGGTGGGCAGGCCCTGGCACAGGTTGCCCAGAGAAGCTGTGGCTGCCCCAGCCCTGGGAGTGTCCAAGGTTGTCCAGGTTGGACAGGGTTTGGAGCAACCTGGGCTAGTGGAAGGTGTCCCTGCCCATGGCAGGGGGTGGAACAAGATGGTCCCTTCCAACCCAAACCATTCCATGATTCCCTAAATTAAATTAATTTAGCCCTTTCAGCCTCATTTGTTGTTGTGCCGAGGCTGAAAAAAAAAAGTTCCCCCAGAAGCTTTTACTCCGAGAAGAAAAATGATACCCAGGACACCCTAATTTTGCCTAAATTTCTTTCCTGCTCAACCTCCCAGGGGTCAGGCAAGAGGGAACCCATGGCCCTGCCATGATTTACAGCCTCATCCATCTAAAGGCTCCAGGATCTTTTAACAAATGAAAGGCACAAGCATTAGGAAAACTGTGATACATCAGGGGCTGGGGCCAGGACAAACAGAACCAGAGCTGGCAGGGCTCTCAGGAAAAGGCTGCCTGGCAGCAGGAAGGATTAGCAAAACCTGCCCTGGGGAGCTGTTAAATGAAGTACTAAAGTTCATGAATTACATGAATGAAGAGTTAAAGTTCACAGCAAGCAAAGCTCCAGGGGCAGGAGGACAGCCAGGAATGCTGACAGCTTTTTCCCCCTCCCTCTGGCTCATCTGTCAGGGATGGTAAGAGCCACGTGGGGATTTGGGAAGTTGATGAGACACCAGGCTGCCTACAGGAATGGCACTTGTTTCCTTACAAAACAACTTTCCTGTAAGGCAAAAACACATGGAAAAGAAAGGCCAAAGGAGGTTCAGGCCGGACCAGGGACAGCCCCCAGGGAATGGCTGGAGCTGTGTCAGGGCAGGCTCAGGGTGGATCTCAGGGAAAGGTTCTTCCCCCAGAAGGTGGTTGGCACTGAACAGGCTCCCCAGGGCAGTGGGCACAGCCCCAAGGCTGCCAGAGCTGCAGGAGGGTTTGGATGATCCTCTGGGGCACAGGGGGGGACTCTTGGGGCTGGGCCTGTGCAGGGCTGAGGGTTGGGCTGATGATCCTTGGGGGTCCCTCCCAGCTCAGCACATTCTGGGATTCTCTGAGAGCGGCAGAGGTGCTCTCTGGACTGTCCTGCTCCAGGTTCAGAGCTGTGGCTGTCACAGCACAGCTGTCACAGGCACAGCCAGAGCTGCAGTTTGCTCAGCCCGTGGATAAACACCCTGTCAGTGGCACAGCCACCCTGCTCTCTCTGCTGTCACTCACGGCAGAAAGGGCTTGGAGCCTTCACAGGGAACACAAAGACGAATGCTGGAAACTTGGCCTGAGTGAGCTGCGAACCAGCAAACAGCCCAACAGCAAGAAAATCTTATTAAGAAGAGCTGCCAGAGTCAACACAATCCCAGGCTACATCCCCACGCCACCATCGCTGCCCTGAACCAAAGCAAAGAGCTGAGAGGTGGAACTGGGCAATCCATCACCTTGCCAGGACTAAAACACGAGGTGGCTTGGCCAGAAGTAAAAATCACAGCCTGTGTTAAGAAGTGGCCCTTAAACCATAGAATCACAGACTGGGTTGGGTTGGAAGGGACTGTAAAGCTCATCTTGTTCTACCCCCTGCCATGGGCAGGGACACCTTCCACTAGCTCAGGTTGCTCCAACCTGGCCTTAGACACTTTCAAGGATCCAGGGGCACTCACAGCTTCTCTGCCCAACCTGTGCCAGGGCCTCAGCACCCTCACAGGAAGGAATTCCTTTCCAATATCCCATGTAACCCTGCCCTCTGAGTTTGAA